CGCCTAGCTCCCGAGATTGGCGGTGGGTCGCCGCACGAGCCAGTGATTTTATTTTCCTCGCACAAGCTGCCCAGCAGGAGGGTACCTGGATGCACGCACGCGCGCGACGAGCAAAGCTCGAGCGCCGCATCGAAGGAGGAAGGAGTCGGCTGGTTCACGACTTGGGGGAGGAGGCTGAGCACGTAATCGCCCAGTTTGAACGATATCGCGCCTTTTGTCTCGAGGGCCCAGCGCTCATGGAGCAGGCCCCCGAGATCATGGGTCTCCAGCGTCGTGCTGTAGCCGACGCTCAGACCATCGAACGGCAGCAGGCAGCCGCACGGTCAAAAGAATGGCGAGAACGTTTGAAGAAGGAGTCGGCAGCAGGCTCTTCTTTCATCCACAGGATCAGCAAGTGGCGTACCCCTCCTCCCCCCGTCACGGGTTACTCCGTCTCCAACCTCGAGCTTGCTGATCCTCAGGAAGCGGCCGACAGGGCAGCGCAAGAGTGGTTTGACGTTTGGGGCTCCCATGGGCAGGAAAGCACGGGTCCCTCTGACCGACCCTGGGAGGCCGCTCGTTTCGCCCATCCGTTGGTTCACCTGGACCGCCAGCTGTTTACCAAAATATGTTTGAGTTTTCCTGCCAGGACGGGAATAGGCTCCGACCACTGGCACCCACGCTGGTGGGCTTGGCTTTCGGACGAAGGCAAAGACTGTCTCATTCAGCTAGTGATGTTTATCTCTCGCACGGCACAGTTCCCATCGCAGGTAAGGTACATCATATACTTCCTACTTTCAAAGGAGTCGGGAGGCACTCGGCCGATTGGGCCCCTCCCCTCCCTCATGCGTGTAGTAGAACGAGCTCACTCTGGCCTCTTTCACGACTGGGAGCGCTCTGCCAAGCGCAAATATGACTTCGGGGGCCCTGGGGGGGGGGGCTCCGAAGAGGCCGCGCGGCACCAGATGGTGCACGATGAGGGGGCGCGTGAGGGGGAGGTGTCGGTGACGGGGGTGCTGGATCTGTCGCGTGCTTTTGAGCATGTAACCATGAATGCTCTGTGGGTGGTAGCCCCTCTTTGCGGCTTCCCTCAGCAGCTAGCCAGGCTTCTCATCAGCATCTACACGTCCACCAGGCTGGTTGCCTTTCGAGGGGTCCTAGCCAAGAAGTCGATTCAAACTTTTTCGGCCGTTGTGGCTGGCTCGATCGGGGGCACCAGGGCACTCAAGATGGTGGTGCTGCAGGTCACCGATGCTATACATCAAGCCTGGGGGGCTCGCCTCCAGATGAAATTATTCGTCGACGATCTCAGTATCCAGGTCCGAGGAGCGTTGCGATGTCTCACTGTTCTGCAGGCTGCTGTCACCTTCTATATCCGTGAGATTGAAGGTACCTGGCGCATCCCTGTCTCCCGTGGTGCCCGCGGCAAAGGGTACATCCTCGTCGCCGCGGCCTCGGCTCGGAATCGCTGCGCTGCTTGGGCCAAAGACCTGGGTCTTGCCATCACCGACACCAGCTCACAGCTGGGAGTGGATAGCGCTGGAGGCGCCGTTGTTCGCAAAAGGAAGAAAATGCAGAAGCGATTTAAATATGCACGCCAGCGCAAGTCAAAATTAAAAGCCCTCTCGAAGCAAGGGGCCCGCCTCGCCAGGGTTGTCCGCCAAGGGGTGATCCCGTCCGTGACCTACGGGTCGAGCTGTTTAGGAGTCTCGCCTGTTTCTCTGAACAGAACGCGTGTCATGGTTTCGGGCAGCCTGGGCGGTAGTGCTGTTGGTCGAGACAGAGTCCTCCGACTCTGGACGCATCAAGTTGATCCTGTGGTCGAGGGATCGCAGAAGCCGCTATGCATGTGGGCCTCGCAGGCCTGGAATGGAGTGCATCAGGTAGACATGGCCAGGGCATGGCGCAGGGAAATGTCTCGCGAAGCGGCCAGACGGAGTCAAACGCTAGATCGCCCCTGGAGCCAAGTTCGAGGGCCTGCTTCTGCCTGTAATCTTACGCTGCAGCGGCTGGGCTGGTCCTGGCCTAGCTGGCACACCATCCGCATTCACACTGGTGAAATGCTTGACATGCGCCGATCGGCGCCCAGCACGCTGCGCAAGTATATTTACCTTCGTTTAGAGGATCAAGAGCTCACCGACTGGGCAACGCAGCGAGGCATGCCCTTTCGGAAGCCCTTCCTCGAGCCTTGTCGCGCAGCAGTCAGGACAAAAAAGAAAAAGGGCCAGAAGCAGTCGGCAATGCTAGCTTTCCTGTGCAGCGATTTTTGGACGCAAGATAAGGTTTGGAGAGCCGGCCACTCGGAAGATCGAAGTTGTCAAAAATGCGGCACGCCATCGGAAACCAGCACCATAGATTTTGCAGGTGTCCAGCTTTTCAGGAGCAGCGCCAGGCTGCAGGTGAATCCTATCCTGATATAATCCACCGTGCCTCCTCCTCGTGCTCCTCCTCCCGTCTCTTCTCCAGGGCTCTCGCGCCTCACCCACTGGGGGACCCCTTACAGGAGGTCACGCCCAGCATTGAGACCCTGGACCCCGAGTACGGGGACGATCCCCTTCTCTCGGGCCTGGCCTATTCGGATGGGTCGGGGGTCGGGGTCTCTGGGTTGAAAGCGTTCGGTTGGGGCCTCTGCTTTGTTGACCAGCATGGTAATGTACGCAAAGCAATGCATGGCACGGTTCCAGGTGTAAGGCAGGCACAAAGTGTGCTTAGAGCAGAATTGTATGGTTTCCTGAATGTTCTTCGGCACGGCACTGCCCCTCTACAGGTAGGGATCGATAATTCCACAGTCGTTCGGGGCTTCAGGCGAGGCCCAGTTTGGTGCCGCCAAGCCAGGCGACCGCATGCCGATTTATGGCACATGATTTGGAATGCGATTGAAGATTCGTTCTCGGGGGAGGGGGACCTCGTCGTCGCCAAGGTCAAAGCGCATTCCAAAAAGGCTCAGGCCCAGCAGCTCGAGGGACTCGAGCTGTGCAACTACCTAGGGAATCAATGCGCCGACCTTCAAGCGAAGGAGGGCGCCAAGCTAGACGCCATCCCGCCTCATATTCGAGACACGTGGGTGTCTAGGTTTAAGGAGGTTTGTGCTGTTCTCGGGCTTGTCGGTGACATGACTTGTAAGATAGGCACGTTTGATGACACCACAGGCCGTCTCCAGAATGCCCCCCAGCCCCCTGGCCCTCGGCCGTGCCGTTCGGTGCTGCCTCCTCCAGAGTCTCGGCACGTCCTGGAGTGGGATAGGGGGTCTTGGAGGTGTGCCTGTTGTGCTAGACGGGCCCACAGCTATAAGGCCAAGCTGGTGTTGTCTCGTAAGTTTTGCAGAAAGGGTTTCTCCTCCCACGGTAAGTGGAAGAAAATAGCGCGTGTCGACGGGGCTCCTTTGCATGGGGCCAAGGCGACACAAGCTGTCTCGAATAGGCCACTATACCTTCTGTCGAGAGTGCGGCGCCTTTTTGAGCGCTAGGGCTTGTGGACTACTTGCAGGATGTCCTAAGGACCCGAAGGACCACAACGCCAAGACTCGACGTAATCGTTTGCTGGCAGGTAAGCATCCGTATAAGAATGAAAGACTGCCTGGAGAGGTGGTCGCGCTGTCAAGAACCCAGGAATTGGAGTTTCTGGAGTCGATTGGGATTGCTGCCAGGGCCTCTGCCGCTGGAAGTGGCGTGGAGGCACAATCTTCCTCCGCCGCCTCAGGCGGTGCGGAGGTCTAACCAGGTCTGTCGCAGGTGGACGCGAGGTGCTCGCCCACGCTGTGCTCGCGGGAAAACCCTCCCTCTCCTCCTCCTCCTACTACTCGTCGCCCTCCCCCTCCTTCTCCTCCTCGTCCTCCCCTCCTTTACTCCTCCTCCTCCTCCTCCTGCCTCCCCGCCTCCGCCTCCTCCTCCTCCATATCCTCCTTTCCCCTCCTCTCCTACTCCTCCCTCCCTCCTCCTACTCCTCCTCCCTCCTCCTCCCTCCTCCTCCTCCTCCATTCCACCTCCACCTCCTCTATTCCTCCATTCCTACCTCCTCCTCCACACCCCTCCTCCCCTCCTCCTCCTCCTCCTTTCTCCTCACAATCCTACTCCTTCTCCTCCTCCTCCTCCGCCTCCTCCTCTCTCATCCTCCTCCTCCTCCTCCTCCCCATTCCTCCTCCTCCTCCTCCTCCTCCTCCTCCTCCTCCTCCTCCTCCCCTCCTCCTCCTTCCTCCTCCATTCCTCCTTCTCCTCCTCCTCCTCCTCCCTCCTCCTCCTCCTCTCCTTCGCCTCCTCCTCCTCCTCCTCCTCCTCTATTCCTCCATTCCTTCCTCCTCCTCCTCCTCCTCCTCCTCCACCTCCTCTCCTCCTCCTTCCTCCACTCCTCCTCCTCCTCCAATCCTCCTCCTCCGACCTCCTCCTCCTCCTCCTCCCCTCCATTCCCTCTCCTCCTCCCGCCTCCTCCTCCTCTGTCCTTCCTCCTCCTCCTCCTCCTCCTCCTCCTCCTCCCTCAATCCTCCTCCTCCTCCTCTATTCCTCCACTATCCTCTCCTCCTCCTCCTCCTCCTCCTCCCACTCCTCCTCCTCCTCCTACCGCCTCCTCCTCCTTCTTCCGCCATTCCTCCTCCCTCCTCCTACTCCTCCTCCTCCCTCCTCCTCCTCCTCCTCCTCCTCCTCCTCCTCCTCCTCCTCCTCCTGCGGCCCGCCCCGGGCGGCGTCCTCGCCTCGTCCCCCGCGGTGGGGCCCTGCCCGCCCCAGCCGTGCGGGCTCGGCGCGCGCGCTGCTTGCCGAGCGGCGCCCGGACGAGCTCGTCCACCTCGATAACCGGCTCCCTCTCCCTCTCTCTCTCTCTTTTTCTCTGTCTCTCGGCGTCTTTCGCTTTCTCTCTCTCTCTCTCTCTCCCGTTTTTGTTCGCCCTCTCTCTCTCACTCTCTCTCTCTCTCTGTCTCTCTCTCTCTCTCTCTCTCTCTCTCTCCCCCGATCTCTCGCACACGAAGGAGCCGACCAAGAAAAGAGCATGCAAACGGTCATGCGTCCGTGCCTGCACGGATGCGCGGCCAGGTCGTGCACCTGGTCGCGTGCGGTTGGTACCTCGTCGCGTCGCTGCACGACGACCACCAGGCGCCATTCCATTGCAAATGGCGCATTTTTTGTTTGGTTTTATGTTTTTTTCGGCAAGCCGTCGGATGATGCCATGGCGTCAGAATCGAGACTCTCCTTTCAAGGGCAGCGTTAGGAGAGGGCACGTAAGCTCAAGGGGGAGAGCGCATCGATCTCCAATCGCCCATTCATCCCCAGCAAGGGCCTGATAGCCCACCCCGCCCAGAAGCGTGCGTTTTCGCTATCGGGGATCTCTCGGCGGTGTATGGCCGATTCCGGGTCGATGCTCCCCCCTGAGCCGTTCCCCCTTAGCGTTCCCCTTCATCGTCGTCCTGTCAGAAGGACGCTTCACTGTTCGAAAGTTGCGCAGACTGGGTGCAATGTTGGTGACAGGCGTTGATGCTGAGCGGGCAGCGCATTTATGGGTGACGGGCCCAGTTTATTCAGGGCAGCTGGAGCAAGGGAGAACCTCCAGGGAAGGGTGAGGGAGGAGGAGAGGGGAGGAGGAATATCGGACGATGGAACATGAATAGGAGGAGGAATAATGAGGTCTTGGGACTTTTTTTTTGGGGGGGGAGGGGGCTCCGGGAGTCCTCGTCGCCACGACAGCATCCGCTTTGAGATTCGGGGCAGCGCAGCCCCAATGACAGGTTAGGGAGTCGAGCTCTGAGGGTAAAGGAGGCGGAAGAGGGCGAGGACGAGGACGAGGACGAGTGAGAAGAGGACGAGGACGAGGACGAGGACGAGGGGCAAGAGGACGAGGACGAGGACGAGGACGAGGGGCACAGGAAGAGGGCGAGGCCGGATTGCTGTATTCGGCGGCGAGCCCCGGGGGGGGAGTGGGAAGGGGCGGGCCTTCTCAGAAGGCTCAGAGGTCCCCCGGCCTTCCGAGAAGTTTTCTAAGCCTTGCCTGAAGACGCGGAGGACTTCTCAGAATGCGCGAGGGTTTCTGAGAAGTCCCACCGCCTTCTGAGAAGGCCTTTTCCTTCTCACTTCCACAGAGGCTCCCAAGTTCTTGACGCCTCTCGTCATCGGGGGGAGCAGCATCCGTGCGCTTCCAAGGCGAGTGGCGACCCCGTGGGGCGCTCTTGTTTCGCGTGTCTGCTCGAGAGAAGGGCGTGGCAGCCGCCACGTGTTTGCGGGCCTGCGCCCGCGCCGCGGGGGTTTGGTCCCCAGGGCGTTTTCATTGAGAGATTACTCCAGATTTCGTAATAAAGGGAGGGGGGTCTCATGTCGGGAGGGGGGGTCTCTTCCAGGCTATCTTGGAGGGCCTGGGGGGTCTGGGGACGATGTGTTGGAGGGTTCTCCGACGGGGGAGGTCTGAAATGGCTTGTCTTGGAGGGTCCAGACCCCCTCCCTTTTATTACGAAATCTGGAGTACCAAAGAACAGCCCTGACAGTGTCTGGCAGCTCCTCCAGGGGGGGAGGGGGAAGGGCGCGAGCTAAACGGTGTTTTGGCGATTCCGTGGACCGTTTTCGTGTTGACCTCAGTTTGCAGCAAAGGGCGGAGCGAACGAGGGATAACGAAACCAACACGAATTCGGAAAATAACTTTGTTGAATTCGAGCTGTGGGAATAGGGGGCGCTGTGCTCAAGAGGCAGGCCCCAGCACCGCTCCACGATGTGCTCTGCACCACACCTTGCAGGTAGGGCCGTTTCCCAGATCTGTATCTCGATGCTGACTGGACCTTGAGATACCACGCTCCAACAATTGGAACGGACTTTTTTGTTTACTGTTTTCGGCCTCGGGGGGCCCTCGCCATGCTTCTGGACAGTCAAAAAACGACTCGGGGCGAAACACCGGCCCTAGGAAAGTGGTCCAGACCTCCTGGGCCCACGCACCAAACAAATTGGAGCAGCCAGATGTCTGGGTATTTCTAGGCGCCTTGCTACTTCAAGGATCGAGCGTGTCTTCCCTCTTCCCTCCTCTTCTGGGGGCGGGCGGACGCCCAATCCACTTCCAACGCCTTCCTACTTCTTGTTTCTACCCACTTCTTCCGACCGACCGGGAAAGGAGTAAAGGGGGGATTGCCAAAGAACACCCCTGACAGTGTCGGGCTGCTCCTCCAGGGAGAGGGAGGGACGCTGTGCTCTGGAGGCAGGCCGCAGCACCGCTCAACGATGTGCTCCAAACCAGGGCTCCAGCCGAACGGTGTTTTGGGTAATTTCGTTGACCGTTTTCGTTTTGATATTGTTTTGCAGCAAAGGTATAACGAAACCATAATGAGGGATAACGAAAACACAACGAACATGGAAAACACTGTTTAGCTCGAGCCCTGCTCTATACCACATTTCGCAGGTAAGACATGTTCCAACATCTGTAGCTCGAGGCGGACTGTAAGCGCGCGCGCGCCTCGTCGGCGTCGGCATCGGCGTGGTCGCGGTGCGTGTTGCTCTGCTCGGGACTTGTTTCCTTGACGCGGTGGGCACCACCACAACCAAAACCACCACCACCCCCGACATGAGTATCCTCGCCCCTCTCCCTCCCTGAGTTGCCTACCCCCTACGCCCCCTCCCCAACGCTCCCTCCCCGTTGGAAGCAGGCATTGCTGGATCCCCAGATCTCAATCTACTTTAGCCGCCTTCCTACTTCTTCAAGATTGAGTGGTTTCCCCTCTTCCCTCCTCTTCAGGGGGCGGGCATAAGCCCAATCTACTTCCAACGCCTTCCTACTTCATCGTTCTACCTACTTCTTCCGACCGACGGGTAACTCCGCCCCATCTCCCTCCCTGAGCTGCCTACCCCCCACGCCCCCGCCCCAACGCTCCTCCCCCCGCCCGTCCCAGAAGTCACCAATAGTGGGCAGGGGGAACAGGCAGCAGAGCAGGATGGGGGCAGGGAGCGGGAGGAACAGCAGCAGCAGGAGGAGGAGGACGAGGGCGAGGAGAGGAGGAGGAGGAGGAGGAGGAGGAGGAGGAGGAGGAGGAGGAGAGAGGAGGGGAGGAGGAGGGCGAGGAGGAGGCGCAGCAGGAGGAGAGGAGGACGAGGGGAGAGGAGGAGGAGGAGGAGGAGGAGGAGCCCGGCGGGCAGGCGCGCGACGCGGTGGCGGAGCAGGGATCGCCGCGAGGGGCGCTGCGCAGCAGCAGCCATCCCCCACCTCTGAGCAGCGCTCGACCCAAGCGGTGTCTCCTCCTCCTCCTCCTCCTCCTCCTCCTCCTCCTCCTCTTTTGGCGATTTCGTGGGACGCGGTCGTTTTGGACCTCGTTCCGCAGCGGAGGCGGAAACGAAGACAAACCGGAAGCGAGAAACACGGCTTCGGTCCAGCCTTGTCTTTGGGCCCCTCCCCGCACGGGCGGCGCACGGGCGACGCATGCGCGACGCACCTCTTGTCGCGAATGGGGGGGGTGAGTCAGCACGCCGGTCGCTTTACTGGGCCTTAACACCCCCCCTCCGCCGGCACGGAGCTGGCCGCCCCTGCGCCACTCGCGGCCCGGGCAGGAGAGCCGCCCCCATCTCCGGGGCGCCGGCGAGAAGAGGGAGCGGAGGGAACCGCGCCGCGCCGCTCGCGCGGCGCGAACCGCGAGGCGGGGTGGCTTCCTGCGTCCTCCGTTCCGTCGGTGACGGGGGCGGCGATGCGGGCGGTGGCGATGGTGGCGGTGCCGATGGTGGTGGCGCCGGCGGTGGTGGTGATGAAGATGGAAACGTCAATGAGGGTGTTCTGGTGACGGCGGTGATGAGTAGCGGTGAAGGGTGGCGGTGATGTTAATGATGGTGGTGCTGGTGGTGCCGCTGATATTGGCACTGGTCGTGGTGGTGATGAAGGTGGAAACGTCAACGGTGTTGGTGGCGACGGTGGTGATGAGCAGCGATGAAAGGTGGTGGTGATGTTGCTGGTGGCGCTGGTGGTGCCGACGGTGCTGGTGGTGCCGACGACTGACATCACGATACTATGATTATGATGACGATGATGGTGGTTGCGCAGATGATGATGCCGAAGATGGTGATTATGATGATCGTGATGATGGTGGGGATGGTGACGATAATGATGATGATGATGGTGCTGATGCTGATGATGTTGAAAATGATGCTGATGATGGTGATGATGCTGACGACGATGATGATGATGATGATGCTGTTGATGATGCTGATGATGCTGATGATGACGATGACAATGACGAGGATGACGATGATGATGATCAGATGATGGTGCTGCTGATGATGATGATGATGATGATGATGATGATGATGAGTATGATGATGATATGATGATGGTGATGATGGTGGTGATGATGATGATGATGATCATATGATGATGATGTGGCTGATTATGATGATGATGATGATGATGATGATGATGATGATGATGATGATGATGATGATCATGATGATGATGATGATGATGATGATGATGCTGCTGCTGATGATGATGATGATGATGATGATGATCAGCATCATGATGATGATGATGATGATGCTGATGATGATGATGATGATGATGATGATGATGATGATGATGATGATGATGATGATGATGATGATGGCAATCTGATAAGATGATAATGATGCACTCCCCCCTTCCCGGAGGAGACCTGGATCGGTCGGCGCATTGTGGACACCAGGGGGACCACGCTGTACGAGGCGCTCCCCGTAAGAAAACACTTCGCCCCACGCCCTCGCGAGCCGTGCGCGCGCGGGGCGCGGCGAGGGCGCCCGGCAGGGAGCCGCTGCAATCGGTGCATATCCACGGTGTCCCAGATTTTCGGACCCCCTTCCTTGGGAACCCGACGTGGGGTGCATTCTCGTGTACTCCAGATTTCGTAATAAAGGGAGGGGGGTCTCATTTCGGGGGGGGTCTCTTCCAGGCTATCTTGGAGGGCCTGAGGGGGTCTGGGGACGATGTTTTGGAGGGTTCTCCCACAGGGGGGGTCTGAAATGGCTCGTCTTGGAGGGTCCAGACCCCCTCCCTTTTATTACGAAATCTAGAGTATCTGGCCCTCAGGAAGGCCAGCTGTTTATCCATATCCACTGCGTCAGGGGGTTTCGGCAACCGTTCCCAAAAGGTCCACGGCGAGATTTGATATGCATAAGGATCTTGCCCGCAACAGGGCCTGCCGAGCGGGCCGCGCCAGCGGCGGCGAGGTGGGCGCGCATCCACCTGCACGAGGGCGGGTCTACGATGATTTCGGCGCCTCTTACAAGTTTTCGTGGTTTCGGCGGTTCGGGGGGTTGCGAATGTTTTCGGAGCTTTTCGGGACCTGGGCATCAGTTGCGCCTCAGCGCGGCAGCACCTCGTCGCGGGCGTTCTGGGAATGCCCGGATCGATTCGGTACCGGATCCGGCCGGCCCGATCCGATTTGATTCTGACAACGCGTCGATTTGGTGCGGCCCCATGCTCGCGTGGTGCTGTTGCGCAGCATTCTGGCGCAGCGATTTCGATTCCGTGCCGATGCGGCCCGATCAGACGCGAGTTCCGATCCGATCCGACTTCCAGATTCGAGATAGCGATTGTTCCTGCCCATCGGTCACCCGCAGAGGGCGCGAGGGTGCTCGCGCAAGGGGTCGGCCCGACGTCGGTGTGGCCCGTCGCTGCAGGGAGTGGCCGTCGGCGCAATACAACAATTGACGATCTCAAACCTGTGATGTATGTGATAGCTTGTTTTGCAGGCGCTCTGTGGTAATACAAGCACGCCTGCAAAACAAGCTATCATATACAGTCGGCCCAGATTAGTAGGTCGACCCTGCCACATCAAGGGTACCCTTGTGTCCTGTGTCTCGCGACCCATGCTTCCTGCATTCCTGTGGCAATGTGGCCCTCGGAAGGGTCTTGTGTCCTCTCGCGTGTCCTGTGCAATCGAGTCCGAATGTACATCACAGGTTTGAGATCGGCAGTTGTTGCATTGCGCCCGTCGCCAAGGGGAGTGGCCGTCGGCGCGCGGCTGCGCAGAGCGCTCTGGAGGGGCGCGCGGGCCGCTGCTGCCGCACCACGTTCCGCAGCCCCTCCTCCTCCTTCTCCTCCTCCTCCTCCTCCTCCGCCCCCTCCTCCTCCAGGACCCCTCCTCGCTCCTCCTCCCTCCTCCTCCTCTTCCTCCTCCTCCTCCTCCTCCTCCTCCTACTCCTCCTCCTCCTCCTCCTCCTCCTCCCCCTCCTCCTCCCCCTTTCTTCTCCTCCTCCTCCTTCTCCGCGCCTCCTGCCCAGCGTCGTCCCTGGCGTGTAGCTGAGAGGCAGACGCACCCAGGCTCAAGACGTTCCGCCTTCGAGGCTCAAGGGTTCCATTCAGCTTACTTTCCACACTTCAGTACACATTCACACTGATGTCTTCTTCGGGTGTCAGCGCCACTTGCATTCCAGGCACCGCCGTCAGGCAATTGTTTCAGGATCCTCTCCAGACCGCGGATCCCTTGGAGATAATGAAGAAGCAGCGTTCTGGACATGGCCCCGACTCCCTGTATACTCCTCCCCTGAATGAGCCGAAGACCAGCTCAGAAGGGTACATCCCGTCCAGGGTCCAGCGCTGCTTCCTCTGCGGCCGAGCCGGTTATTATGGCAGGCATAGCTGCTCTTCTCAAGCAACAGCTCTCGCCGGTCAACACCGCGGCATCCGATCTCAAAAAGGCGCCCCGGAACCTAGACGGCCATGTCGCGAACAGCGGGGAGGCCCTGGGCAACCGCTTGGAAGATGTGGAGGCGAGCATAGTCTCCACAGAGATGCGGATCGAGAAGCTGGAGAGCATGTGCGACGCGTTGTCCTAGAACGTCCCTGGCGAGGAGGCTTTCGAACAGAAGATCCGGGAGTGCATCAAGGAGGCCTTCATGGATTCTCCTCGCTCCCACCCCACCCCATCGCAGCACCCTGTCGCGAACAAGAGGTCTGCAACCATGGTAGCCGGCAGCCTCGATGACTTGGGAGACCTAGCCAGGGCGACCGAGTGGTTGACGGAACGCTTCCAGTCCTTGTCAGCTCCAGCCACTACCAAGGTTTACGCGAATGGCGACTTCAAGGGCATCATCTTCGCGGAGTTCGGATCCACCGACGCGCGGGATCAGGCTGTTATTGCTCTCCGGGGTGCGCCGTTCGCCAAAGCTGATAAAAAGGTGTGGGCGAGCGAAGATGCGAAGATCGTTCACGGGCGCAGCGGGCTGCTCGCAATGTTTGCCTCGGTTTCAAGCGCGTCCTCGAGGAGCAGTTCCACGTGCCCTACACAGTGTCTGTCTCGGATTCGTCGCCGTTCGAGGTGACCGTCAGGGGGGGGCATGCGCTGACAGCGGTCGTCGAAGATATCGCTGTGGAGTACCAGTGGCACGGGGAGTGGGCTACGTGGAAGGAGTTACATTCTATTCTCATCCGCTTGTCGAAGACCTTGCGTTGAAATCGGCGGACTTGCTCCTCTGCGCAGGGAAAGCAATGGAAGGAGAAAAGAGGAGGCGCCAAAGGAGGAGGCAAAGGGGCTGCCAGATCCGGGCAGCGTCTCAGATAATAGGAAACAGTCAACGAAGTTTCACCGGCACCAGCAGTCGGCTATACTGCCACAGTGATGCCTAACATATGCAGAATTCAATCCACAACCTCACAGAGCACATGTACACATGCATGCAAATCGGGAGCCGCGAGGCCCCGCGGGCCTCAAGGCAATCGACGTGACCAAGGAGGTAGTGACAGAGAGGGACCAATGCTCCGCCCTGGCGGCGACCTATCTCGGGGGAGGCATCGAAAGTCTTCCCGCCCCTGCTGCTTAAAGCGCATTGGCTCTTGGAGCATCGAGGGCTTGCGGGGCGACGGCACCGTCGAGGTGACCGATCTGCAACGCGCGATGATAGAGCAGGATAATGACATGTGGTGCATCCAGGAGACACGCCTCCATGGTGCCGAATACTGCGAACAGGACGGCTTCCTCATTTTTGTTTCGGGCGAGCTTGATTCGGAAAAACGCTGGTGGGCTGGCGTTGGATCTATAGTGTCGCCCCGAGCGCACACTGCTGTAGTGGCAGTCGAAGCTCATGGGATCGTTTGGCGACGCTTCGCGTGCGACTTATCGGGGGGACGCTGGCACCGTTGCCAGCTTGCGACCCGCGTTCTGGGCGGGACTTCGATGAGCGACAGGATTTCTTCAGCGATTTCAAGCAGCTCGTCCGGCCGACCGCGAACCACAGCGTCGCATTCGCATTTGGAGACTTCAACGCTCGTCTGCGTCATTCGGGAGTTTCAGAAAGACCACATAACCGGACCTCACGCGTTCAAGGCGCGGCCCCAGCGTGACGGACAGGAGTTGTCGATTTCGAACCGGCAACCGTTGATCAAGAGTTGCGAGGTTTGCGAACTGATTGTTGCTAACACATCTTTCGACACCTTCCGACATGGAAGTTTCATATCGTCGCCAGAGCGATTTGCCAGAGCGATTTGCCCAGATCCATCATGTTCTACGCCGCAGAAGCGCCTTCCCGACTATCGCGCATTGTTGGGCGAGCAAGACATGCGCATTGAACAGCCACCAATTCCTTGCCATAGTCGAGACGAGCATGGACTTCAAGACCGCGGCCCAGTCCCGAAAGAAACCAGTAGACAAAGCTGCCCTTCAGCACCCGTGCAGACTTCAACCAGCGGCTCAAAGAGTCGCGCTCCAGCCAGCCAGACTCTCGACGACGCCGCCAAGGTGGTCCGCTCTGCTTTCGCTCGCGCTGCAAGTGCTCTTCCTGGCAGGGCCCAAGTCGAGGTGCGCTGCCATTCACTATGGAAAGGAATGCGCGCCGCAGAGCTGCCGACCACGACGGCGAGAACAGATCCCAGGAGCTCATCGGAAAATCGAACAACGAAGACCGCAAGAAGTGGCTGGATGAGTTCGCTCGGGGAGGGGGCTGGGAGGCGCCCGGGCACCTCCGACTGCCAGGGCCGGTTAAGCATGATTCTATCAAGCACCCATGCAGAAGTCTGAGCGACTCGGCGGACAGAGCGACCGTCTTGGATGATTATTCTGAGCAAGTGCAGTGGCGACGACGCTTCGACGACAGGAGGCCTGCAAGTGAAACGCTCATAGGGCCTGCATTACCGATCGAAACGTCATCCTTCGCACTGACCGAACTACAGCGGGCTTTGGGCAGACTGAAGGTTGGTCAGGCGGCTGGGCCCGACGACGCGCCGCCAGAGTTTTGGAGAGCAGTGGCACAAGATGTAATTGCGAGCGGGATTCTGCTCAGGGTCTGCCAACGATGCTGGGAACAAAAAGCTTTCCCAGACTCGTGGCGGCGCGCCAAAGTCGCACTGTTATGCGCATAATGGGCGACGCCGCACTTCCAGCAAACTACCGGCCAATATCTGCACTGCCAGTCGGATATAAGGTCGCGGCTTCTATGCTGCATCGCAGATTGATTGGCGGCGGCGCCGGCCCGCGGAAGCGAGACTTCCAGTGCGGCTTCCGCCCGGGCCGCGGCTCTGCAGACGCGCTGATGCTGGTGAGGCGCATGATCGACGCGACGCTGCGCACGTCAGCGGCTCTGGCGGAACGCTGCTTCTCATGTTTGATTGGGCCAAGGGTTTTGACGTAATCAAACCAGAAATCATGCGTGGTGCACGTCAAAGGTTTGTGCTGCCCGTGGAGATGGCCACAATGATCCGGGTTAATTATGACACCCGGTATTATACATGATCACGCGTGTCCGTCATCAGAAAAGGCGTCAGCGAGCAGGCATCGCCCAAGGGTGCCCGTTGTCGCCCTACCTCTTCATAGCCTCCCGCCTCGAGCTTCTTGACGAACCAGCGTTTTGGGTCACGAGAGATGCACTTCTGGCTCCGACACACCAGGAAAACATGCAACATTTACTCAACGAGATTGTCCAGGAGAGAATGAAGTACGGCTTGGAGCTTAACCGGGACAAGACAGTCCACATGCATATTTGTGGGCAACTGAGATGCACAGAACAGCGTAATGCTCATCGTTGTTTGTTTTCCTCTCCTCCTCCTCCTGCTCCTCCTGCTCCTCCTCCTCCTTCTCCTCCTCTCTTCCTCCTCCTCCTCCTCCTCCGTCGTCCTCTTCCTCCTCCCACGCTGCTTATTAGTCCAAGCCCTTGTACCGCTGATGGTATACGGAGGGCTCTCGGCGATGATTCCGTCGCAGCGAAGCCTGGCAAGAGCCGCGAGTGCTCCTGCCGACCGGCCCGCGCGCCCCTCTGGACGCTCGGCCTTTCCTGTCCTGTCCTGCGAAGCAGAATCAGGAGGGAAAGAAACACACAGACACAATGAATCGTCGATCCCCAGGAAAATATGGGAAACTATGGGAAGTGGGAGGGAAGACAAACACCCCGAAAATAGGAGAAGAGATGGGGAATCCTTTTATTTGTGTGTGTGTTTATTTGTGTGTCCCAGGGCCCCTTTCAAAGAAGCTGATGCATGCACACCAGCCTTCCGAGCTCCACGCAGGTCTCTTGGATCGGAGCTGGGCCCCCCTTGCGGCGCCGGTGGCGCTGCCCCCTGGCGCGCCCCGCGCCGGTCCACGGGCTCCGCGCAGAGCTCAGTTGGGCGCCGCGTAATGGGGGGGTCATAAATGGGGGGGTGGCGAGGGTGGTTCGAAAAGGTACCCAAGCGGTACCTAAACGAGCCCCCTGGGGCTCTGGAGGGGCCCGAAAGGGGCACGAAAGGGGACCTTTTCTGACCCCCCCCATTTGTGATCCCCCCATTAAGCCACGCCCAACTCAGAAGGTGTGCGTTTATGTGCCCCTCCTGGCCCCCCCGCTGGGGGGGGGGGCGCAGCTGAAAAACGTGGCATGGTTGACCCGCCGGAGGGATCCAGGAATCGACTTGGAACGGATGCTCGGCCAGAGTTTTGGGCGTCGAGGCGGGCGATCGTTCAAGGTCAAGCCATCCCCGCGGTGTCAGACACCAACGCCGAAGGCAGCGCGACACGAGCATGCTGCAGGTGAGCTCTCCCAGCGTGCCCCCTCTGGGTGGGCCTGGGCGCCGCGATGCCCGGAGGAGGCGGCACCCATCCTCGAGTGAGGGGGGAAGGCAGGTCGGCCGGCGGGGCCAAGGTTTCTCTCTACTACAGAGATCTGCGAGCACCCCACTCAGTGCCTAGCGGCGCGGTCGTTTTTCTGGCCGTTTCGCTCGGGAGACCCTAATGTTTGTTTAACATCGGACGCACCCGTCGCGCAGATCGCGACGTCTGGGCCCCAAGGTACAACGGATCTTCAACATTCTAACATGCAGTTTTCAAAAACACCATGGAGCTAAATGCTTGCGCACAAAGATGGTAGAACACTATAGGTTGTTCGATGGTTTCCTGAGTAGTCATTCAGGGTGGTACAAGAGAGCCGTTGACAGCACCATGGATTTCCGTGAACGTTCACACACATGCCAGAACAGCACAGTTTGTTCCAGCAAGTATGTTCTAATGTGTTGTTCCGTCATGCCCGTAGGGGCAGTTCTCATCGTGCCGTCCAATCGCAAGTTTGTCTAGGAGAGATGAGCAGAAAAACGCACGCCCCGACGCTCCCACAGCGCGGGGGGGGGGCCCGCAGATGTGGGTCCTCCCTCTGCGCCCCCCCCCCTCCCGTGGCCAGCGCAGGCGAGCCCAGAAGAGCAGTGGCTCCACGCCATGTACTTCGTGCTCGCCGTGTTCACCACGGCCTTTCCCCCCCGCCGCCGCCTGCCTCCTCGCCCCGCTGCTCCGACCCCGTGTGCCCGCAGGGACCTGACCTCCTCGCGTCGCGAAAGATACGGCGGGCAGTGTTGCATCGTCTTCGGCCTCCGGGGGCCTTCACCGTCATCGAGAATAAAATCATCGCTAACCCTGACGACACAATGAAGACGTCGCATTTGTGCTTAGGTCTCCATGCTTGTTTGCATCATGGTAATGATTCTGGGTGGCTTGGCTTGGTACATCTGCAAGCAAAAAAAGGCCCCTGTCTCTGATGTCTTAAACCTCTCAACTAAGATTTGACCCTCTATCCCTATTATTGTAAAGGCCTCCGGCCAGTGCCGCCGATCCTGGGGGCCCTCGATGCTTGTTGTGATGATGATGATGATGATGATGATGATGATGATGATGATGATGATGATGGTGATGGTGATGGTGATGGTGATGGTGATGATGATGATGATGATGATGATGATGATGATGATGATGATGGTGATGGTGGTGGTGATGATGATGATGATGACGATGACGATGACGATGACGATGACGATGACGATGACGATGACGATGACGGTTACGATTATGATTTTGATTATGATGATGATGTTGTTGATGATAATGGTGATGATGATGGTGAAAATGATTATGATGATGATGATGATGGTGATGATGATGGTCGTGGTGGCGGTGATGGTGGGGGGGTGCGCTCTTGGGGTCGTCGGGGATGCTTTTTGGAGCTGACGTGCCCTGTTTGGGAGGGAGGGCGCTCTTGGAGTCATCGGGGACGCTTTTTGGAGCTGACGTGCCCTCTGCGGGGGTGCCTGGAGCGGTCCCGGGGGAGGGTCTGGGGAGACTTTCGCGGGGAGGGTCCTGGGGGCGGTAGCGGCTTCCTCTGAGGGGGGTCCCTGGGGATGCGAAAATCATTAAGAAAACGCCAGATGGGGGACCGCCCCCCCCCTCCCCTCCCCCCTTTGCCCAGAGGAGGTCCGGGGAGGGTTCCGAGGGGAGGGTCCTGGGGGCGGTAGCGGCTAGATGTGAGCGGGGTCTTTGGGACCCCCCGAAACATCTTGGGGGTGCGCAAAACATTAAGAACTCGCCACATGTGGGACCGCCCCCCCCCTCTCCCCTTCCCCGGCAGAGCCACCCCGGCGACCCCTTTCCAAGCAGAGCTGAAGCTCTTGCTTAGGCTCAGAGCTGAAGCTCTTGCTGAGGCTCCTTGTAGTTCACACGCCGGATCGGCGGATTTTGGGACCTCCAGGCCCCCGAATACCAAAGCACCATTTGGGATGAAGGCACTGTCCCCGGAAAGGGCCAGCCTAGGCAGGGTCCATCTCGATCCGATCGAACCGACTCGACATCGGCTCTGGCCGGCCCGATTCGATTCGACTGATTATTCCGATGCTCGGGCGATCCGGTGCGGCCCCATGCTTGCATGGCGTTGCGGTGCATTCTGGCGCCACCGAGCCGAGCCGATTCCGGCTCCGAGCCGATGCGGCCCGATGTGATTTTCGTTCCAATTGAATTCGGTTTCCCGATTCGATGCTGGCGGTTCCTGCCGGGCCTCGGGGGAGCCACGCTGCGAGGCCGCCGCGTAACAGGGGGGCGATTGAAGAGGGGGGCAGCGAGGGCTGCAGAAGAGGAGCCCGCGGAGGGGCCCTCTCGGGCCCCAAAGCGGGCCTTCAGGGCCCGAGAAGTGCACCTCCCTCCCACCCCCTGACTCCGGATCCGCCCTACTTGGGGGAAATTCGTAAGTGGGGCTTGGAATTTCCGCCTTACTTTTCAAGCCCCGCTGATGCCAACTTCCGCCCTACTTTTCTGTTGCTGTTTCTGTGGATTTCCGCCCTATTTTATGTTTGGTGCAGCAATTTCCGCCCTACTTGTTCGGCTCCTTATAGCTGGATTTCCGACGCAATTTTAAGTTGGAAAAAAAACCAAAGTAGGGCGGATCCGGAGTCAGGGCCCCCCATGCATCGCCCCCCCCATTCAGCGACGCCCGCCCAGAGAAACACAACAAAAAAAAATACAAAAAAAAAACGCCACTCGGCATGGAGGCGCCGTCCCCAGAGAAGGGGTCCAGGCCTCGGGGGAGCCACGCCGTGAGACCACTGCGGATCGTCGGACGTGCCTGAAACGGCGCGCCCACCCACCCACCCACCCACCCCCCACCACCCACCCACCCACCCACCCACCCACCCAAACCCACCCACACACACACACACACAAACACCACCCACCCACCCAAACCACGCACGCACGCACGCACGCACGCACGCGCACGCACGCACGCACGCAACCCACCCACCCACACGCAACGCCACGCACGCACGCACACGCAACAACACACACACACACAACGCTCCACCCACCCACCCACCCACGCACGCACGTACGCACGCACCACGCACCCACGCACCCACACACACACAACGCTTTTTGCGTCGGCGGCTTGGCAGAAGTTACTGCTCCGGCGTTCGGGCAAGCACACACGCACACACACACACACACCGCCGCCACATGTCGAGGCCACGGCCGACTTGTGCCCCTGGCCTCGGTCAGGGGTCATAGAGAGCACAAGGCACCCTGACCCTACTAACACGATGGAGACGTGGCCTCACAGAGGTCCCCGTCTCTGCATTTGGGAGACTATTATGGGTGGTGAGGTTCCATACATTCACAGCAAAAAAAAACAACCCCTGATGCTTTGGGTTTCTTGACCAAGATCCGCTCCCAAAGGGTTAGGGGTAGTTCTATTGCTGCTCCAGAGGTGCGCGCACACCACTCCTCAGCAGCGCGCAGAGGGAAGGCCTAGACATGATCGCGTCGCAAGAAAAAGTCACGATGGGAGGTTGTTAGCCATTTGGGGCCTCCAGGGGCCCCCGCCGGGCCTCGGGACCGTCAACCGAACGACTCAGGATGGAAGGCCCGGGACAAGGGTTAAGTCGCGCCTGTCCCTCTACAGGGGGAATATGCAAAAATAGGCAAAACATAGTCTGGGGACTACTTTTTGAGTTTTTTTTCGACCATTTGCGAGTATTGTTTGAGTATTTGTTTCGTCGAAAATCCCCCTGTAGGGGGACACGCGCGACTTAAGACAAGAATCGGGACTTCCGGGGGCCGCGGATCTTGGGCCCTCGACGGCCCTCGATGTTGGGCCTTTGACGATCCTCGATCTTGGGCCTCAAGGTCAGCCACGTGCAGGGGGAGGCACCCCTGCTTCTCAACAGGCGCGGGCCTTGTCTGCAGATGTAGGACCGGCGCCTTCCAGGGAGCAGAGCCTCCTTCTAAGAAGCCTGCCCCCCCCTTTCTCCCCTAACGCCCCTTGGGCGCGCCGCCACAGGATGCCGGGGCCCAGGATGGCCATGGCCAGGCATGGTGGTGCTGTGCGCTGCTGCCCCTGTGCCCACTTCCCGCTCCTGTGAGTGAGCAGCGCTGGCCGAGCACGACGTCCCCTGATCGCCCACCCCGTCGCTTCCGCCCCTCGCCCTCGTCCCGCGTTGCCCCGTTCCGTGACGGTTTGCATTCCCATCTTGATGTTGTTTTTTTGTTCCCTTTGTTTCCTCGCCTGCGCATTCTCCCCACGTCTGCGTCCCTCAGGCGACGAGAAGCATGGCAGAAGCCCAGGGAAAGGTACGAGTCACGTTCGCAGACCTCGAACCCCGATCCCCCTCCTCCTCTGCTCCTTCCCGAGCCACGACTCCCGCTCCTCCTCCTCCTCCTCCTCCTCCTCCTCCTCCTCCCCTCCTCCTCCTCCTCCTCCCCCTCATCCTCCTCCTACTCCTCCTCCTCCCTCCTCCTCCTCCTCCTCCTCCTCCTCCTCCCTCCTCCTCCTCCTCCTCCTCCCCCCTCCTCCCCCTCCTCCCCCTCCTCTCCTCCTCCCCCCTCCTCCCCTCCTCCCCTCCTCCCCCCTCCTTCTCCCCCTCCCCCCTCCTCCCCCTCCTCCCCCTCCTCGCTCTCCTCCCCTCCTCTCCTCCTCCCGCTCCTCCTTGCCCCGCTTCCGCACCCTTTCAGGCGCTCGGATGCAGGCGGGGGGGCGGGCGTTGCGCGGGGGGGGGGCGGGGAGGCCGCCGCTGCCGCCAGGTCGGCTTCGGGGACATCGCGGCTGTCACGTCCGCGGAGGTCGCGTACGCGCTGCTCACCATGATGATCGGAGGGGAGGGGTGGGGGGGCGTCGTTGGCTGGCGGCAGTAGAGGAGGAGGAGGAGGAGGAGGAGGAGGAGGAGGAGGAGGAGGAGGAGGAGGAGGAGGAGGAGGAGGAGGAGGAGGAGGAGGAGGAGGACAGAGGAGGAGGACAGAGGAGGACGGAGGAGGGAGGAGGGAGGAGGGAGTGTTGAGGGGGAAGAGAGGCGAGGAAGAGGAGATGAGATGAGGAGGTAGGGGGAAGGAGGAGGGAGACGGAGGAGGAGGGGAAGGGAAAAGGGGAGCGTGACGAGGAGGGCGGGAGGAGACTGCCACGGGGCGGGAGTGGGAACGCATACACAAAGAGGGCGAGGAGGATGCCGAGGAGAAGGAGGAAGAGGCGGAGGATTGACGAGGAGGAGCGTGAGAGGGCGCCGTGATCACGCGGCAGGCTACAAGGACCATATGGGGAGGCGCAGCACCAGCAGCAGGAAGAACGGTGGAGGAGAGTGCTGTCGGGCGGGGGTGCGAGGCCGGATGGTCACGAGGAGGGGGGAGGATGAGGACGGGTAAGGAGGGGGTCGGGGGTCGATCGACTGGTTCCGAGGAAGCACAAGCATGGAATAAGGCAGCGTGGAATCGACGCGCTCCGTCGCCAGATGAGGCGGCGGTGGCTTCCTTTTTGCGGATGGGGGGCGTGCCTTCCCTGGCGCTCGTGCGCCAGCCGGATCCACTGACCCCTGATCCATGTTGGCGCGTGCCCGACGGGAGCAGGGAGCAGGATGCTTTTTCTGCGCGCCCTTCCATGCGTTAGGGGCGTCGGGACCCCAGCCGACAGAAACTTCAAGGAAGGGGGAAGGGGGGAGCGAGCAGGACACGGACGGGGGATAGAGGAGCTCCTCATCGCCCTCGTTTCTTCTCCCTTTGTTGTCCTTCCCCCCCCTCCCCCCTCCTCCCGCTCCTCTTCCTCCCGATCCCGCGATCTGAAGCGCCATTGAGGTCTGCCCCCTGATCCTCCTCCTCCCCCCTTCTCCTCGCGCGCTAGCGGGTGGTCGCGGTTCTCTCCGCTTCGTTCTCCTCATCTTCCTCGTCAGATTCCTCCCCTCTCTCCCCCCTTTTTGTTACAACGGCTGGTCGTCCAGCCGAGGCAGGAGGTGGGCGGAAGCAAGACGAGTGCATCCGATGTTGCGTTTTACGCGCGGTTAGCTTCCAAGCCATGGGGCACCCACTAGGTGCGAAGCTTGCATGCTGTACATTACGCTGGGAACATTCGTCCAGCGTAATGTACAGGAGGATTCCTGGAGGATTCCTTATCTAATGAGGGTGGCGGTTATACGCATGCGCATGGCCAAGCCTCGATGGGTGTTCCTCCGGCCTCCAGACCCTGGATTTCTAATCAAATGGTTCCTTGTCAAATGCCCTCACCGCAATTTGTTTACAGCGCGGTTGATGGCCCAGTGGGCCCTTCAGACGCGCCTCTGCAGAGCCCTTCGTTCGTTCATTCGTTCGTTCATCCCTTTTTGTCGTCTCCTTCTTCTTGCTCCTTCTCCTCCTCCCCACTTGGCGCAGGCATCGTCATCAACAGCATAATCGTCGGGAAGATGGTCACTGCGGTCACCCGAGTGGACCAGCAGGCGAGCCACGAGGGCGGGGAAGAAGAAGGGGAGGGGGGGGAGGGACGGGACGGGTGGAGGGGGGGGGGAGAGGAAAGGAGGGTTGGAGGGAAGGGGGGGGGGGGATGGCAGGGGGAGTGTGGGGAGGGCAGGGGGGGCGAAGGGTAGAACTGTTAGGGGGGAGAGAGGGGAGGGCGGGAGAAGGAGGAGGAGGAGCAGGATCAGGAGGAGGAGGAGGAGGGAGGAGGAGGGGGGCGGGGGGAGGAGGAGAGGAGGGAGGAGGAGGAGGAGGAGGGAGGAGAGGGAGTGGGAGGAGGAGGAGGAGGAGGAGGAGGAGGAGGAGGAGGAGGAGGAGGGAGTAGTAGGAGTAGGAGGAGGAGGAGGAGGAGGAGGAGGAGGAGGAGGAGGAGGAGCAGGGAGTAGGAGGAGGAGTGGGGGTTAGTACCGGAGGACGAGCTCAAGCCAGCCAAGTCGAGCGAGTCGGAGGGCCACGCCTGTATCCGCTTCCCTCCCACGGCATAATGAGCCACTGTGGCGCATTGGGCTTGGGACACGCTTCCACCTCGCAAGCGGAAGGCGCTCGCGCACGGCCCCGCTTCCGACGATTCGGCGAACAACAGTTCACGCGGGCCGCGCGGGGGCGGGAGCGTCCCCCCGATGGGCGCGGCGAAGACGAAGCACGCGCCGCGCTGACACAGCACTGCCACTCCCGCTCGCAAGCTGCGCGGCGCTTGGGCGAGGTCGGTGTTCCGCCTGCGCTCTCGCACCGCCCTTAAGTCGGGCCCGTCACTCTACAGGCGGAATACAGGCGGAATACTGAAAAATGGTAAAAACAAATTGTATGGGGACGATGTTTTGAGCCTTTTGGGGGGGTCCATTTTTGAGAATGATTTGGGCTATTTTTGATTTGTCGTCCACAATCCCCCTCCAGGGGGACAGGCCCGACTCAACACCGCCCCGCTGCCGCTGCCGCTCGCGTGCGCGCAGGCGAGCGAGCCGCGCGCCGCGCCCGCGCGGGAGCGCCGCCTCCGAGCACAGGGCGCACGGGGCCGGCGCCAGGGCGACAGGTCGCCCAGTGGCGCGGGCCCCCGTACCCAGACATCCGACGTCCCGATTTTTTCGAGACACGGGCCCTCTGGGTGCTCGGCCTTTCCTGTCCTGTCCTGCGAAGAAGAAGAAGAAGAAGCTGATGCATACCCAGACATCCGACGTCCCGATTTGTTCGAGACACGGGCCCCCAACCTCCCGACCACTTCCCTGGGACCGGTTTTTCATCCCGAGTCGTTTTTTGACGGTCCCGAGGCCCAGCGAGGGCCTCCAGAGGCCGAAAACGATGAAAAACCTTTGTCTCGATTTTTTCGAGACGCCCGATGTCTGCGTAGATCTGGCGAGCGACGAGCCTGCGCCGCGCCGGGGCCGGAGCGCCGCTCTCGGGCGAAGGCTGCGCGGCGCCGCCGGGGCGAGAGCGACGCCGTCCGCCCCCGCCCGCGCGTCGACGGCGTGGCGCGCGGCCGGCGTTCAGTCGGGCGTGTGCCTCTACAGGGGGGAAACTCAAACATAGTAAAAAAAAAAACACATATACCCAGACATGTTGGCGTCGTAAAAAAATCAGGACGGGCGGTTTTTGGATATTTTCGCCCTCTAGAGGTCCTCGCCGGGCCTCGGGACCGTCAAAAAACGACTCAGGACGAAAAACCGGTCCCGGGGAAAGGGTCGGGACTTGCGGGGACGCCGTCCTGAAAAAATCAGGACGTCGCATGTCTGGGTATATATAGTCTGGGGATGATTTTTGGATCACTCTTGACAGATATTGGTTTGGGGCATTGTTTCAGCATTTTTTGTTTATCGCCCAAAATCCCCCTGTAGGGGGACACGCCCGACTCAAAACCCTGCGGGCCTGCCATTCCGGCGGGAATTTCGTTTGGAACGGGGGCCGCCCTCCCTCCGTGCAGAGCGCCAGTTGGGGGAGGTTTGCCCTCCACCCCGGCAGCCGAGGCGCATGGCTCGGGCTGCAGACCGTAAGGACAGACGAGCGCGACAAGCAAGAACCCAATGTGGATCGGAGGGCACCAACCACACACCAACACCGATCCTGGCCAGGATCGGTGTTGGTGTATGGTTGGTGCCCCCCTACGTAAGGACAGACGAGCGCGACAAGCAAGAACCCAGTGTGGAGAGGAGCCGCCCTCGTGCAACTGCGAGAGCCCAACATTACCTATGTGTTACTCAATCACAATCCGTGTGACGTTGCGAACAGGTCGACCTGGTGTGCGCGGCGCTCAAGCGAGAGCCGCACTTCAAACTCCACCTCACCTTCATTCATGTAATCGCGTCGTGGTTTTAGACGATTGTGTGCGGCGTTGGGTCGAGACGCGCTTTTTGAAAACAACCTCGCATCCATCTTCGGCGGATGCGAGGGCGATGAGACGAGCGCCGCATGTTGAAAACGATTCACTTCCCATGCGTGTAGGTAATTGATGCGATTATTGCGCGACGGGTGCGCGCGGTCACTAAGCCGAGAGCCACATTTGAAAACGATCGGCCCTTCCATCTGTGCAGCTGCCTGAGACGATGCCACGCCTCAGGGACCTCAGTTTGCCAGGACCTTTTCAGGCGGCACGACCCTGGGCGCCACGAGCAGACGCCACGGTCAGGAAGTGGGAAGGAGGAGGATGGGAAGGAGAGACGAGGGAGAAGGAGAACGGCGACGACGACGACGACGACGTCGACGACGAGGAAGAGAACGGCGACGACGACGACGACGACGACGACGACGGCGACGACGACGATGACGTCGACGACGAGGAAGAGAACGGCGACGACGACGACGACGACGACGGAAACGACGACGACGGCGGCGACGACGACGCCGAGGAGGAGAACGGCGACGACGACGACGACGACGACGTCGACGACGAGAGCCGTCCGAGCGCGGCCCGCGGCCGCGTTGCGCCGCCCGGCGCCCCCCCCCGAGGACATCGAGCGCAGCAAGCAGAAGGACCTCGTCGAGGCTTCCCCACCCCGCCCCGCCCGCCGCAGGCCAAGCATGGGCGGCGAGCGAGGGGGGGGAAATAAGAAGGAGAAGGCCCTCCCAGAAGGCGGCGGGACTTCTCAGAGGCCCTCGCGCCTTCCGAGAAGTTGTTCTCGTCTTCGGGGAAAGCTTCGAAGACTTCTCAGAAGGCCGGGGGACTTCCGAGCCTTCTGAGACGGCCTTCTCCTTTTGATTTTCCCCCCCGCTTGCCGCAGGCCAGTCAGGGGCAACGCTACGCAAGCGGGGATGGGCCCAGGGTGCATCGGCCACCAGTTGCCCACTCATCGCCGATAGGGGCCCGATAGCCCGCCCCGCCCAGAAACGCTTGGCGAGGAGGCGCCGCCATGGGGGGCCCAGCGCCGATCCACGAAATATGCGCTGAGCTCCGAAAGTTTTTGCTTGCGCATGTTATTATTATTGACATTGTGATTAGTACCATTGTTGTTATTGATGTTATTCTTATTCGTATTATTAGTATTCTTATCCGCATTCTTCTTTTTATTATTAGTATTATCCGTATTCTTTTTATTCGCCATATTCTTCTTCAAGGGAAGATGAACGACGCAGAACTCGGGGTCGACTGCGCCGACGTTCACGCGTAAGCTGCCCGCGTAAGGTCGCGCGTAAGCGCCCTCGTCTCCAAAGTAGCGTGTCGCGTTGGCGGCCCGCGTAAGCCGCTGCGTAAGTTCGCTACGTCATCTCGCGTAAGACCCGTTTCCTTTCGTCGCTCAGCTTGCGCCCGCAGTGGCGCGCAACCCTCCCGTCTCAGGAAACCAAACGGAACCGACTCCACTACTCCCCAGACTTCTCGCGGGGTGCGTTCTAACCAGAATCTCGAGGCGAATCCAGCCGTTGCGATGAGGGCCGCCCAGGAGGCCCAACGATAGGAGAACGAGGAAAGGGTGGCAGTATCGGTACTTGTTCCTCCGCCGACCTTTCCTTTTCCCCCCCCTAGCCCGTTCCCCCCTCCCCCACTGCAGGGGGCCACGGGCCACGACGACGACCACGCCCACGACCGCTCTGCGGCGCCTTGCCTCCCTCTGCTCTTCTCCTCCGCAGCCCCTCCCTTCGTCGCCCCACCGCCTCCCTCTCGCGAGCCTCCCTGGAGACGAAGCCAGGACAAGGAGGGATTCGGGTAAGGATGAAGCTCCTCCTCCTCCTTCACCTCCTCCTCCTCCTCCTCCTCCTCCTCCTCCTCCTCCTCCTCCTCCTCCTCCTCCTGCTCCACCTCCCATTTTGGCTCAAGCGATCGCACGCCCCGCGCCGCGGCCGTCCTCGCGATGTCCGCCGAGCGTGGAGCTAGAGGAGCTCTCGCGGCCGCCGACGGCGCCCTCCTGGTGGAGGCGGCCGTCCGCGCCGCGGTGCTCGCGAAAGCACCGCGCCGCACCATCGCCGCCGTTGCGAGGTCAGCCGTGGCCGGGGCCGCCTTGGCCGCCGCGCCGCCGGCCGCGCCCGCCACTGCTGCGAGGGTCGAGCCGGTGCTGGAGGAGAAGAAGGCGCAGCAGGCTGCCTCCCCCGCCGCCTCGGCGGCGAAGGTGGCACGGCGGCGCCGACGGCGCCAACGCCTCGCGGAGGCGCGGCGCGCGGCGGGCGGCGGCGCAGCTGGAGCGGCGGGCGGCGGCGGGCGCGCCGTGCCCCCCGCGGAGGCTGCTGACGACAACGCCATGGAGGAGGAGGAGGAGGAGGCCCTGTCGATCGACGACTCCTGGGCTGATGCGCCCGTCTGCCCGTCGGCGAGGCGGCGGAGGGCGCGGTCGGCCAGGGCTTCGGAGGCGGCGGAGGCGGCCTCGCGTGTGGCGGCGGCGGCGGCGGAACCAGTTCGTGTTGCTGGTGGAGCCGCTGACGCAGCTGCGGGATCGGCAGCGGGTGCTGCTGGCCCTGTGGAGGCAGCGGAGGGCGTGAACGAGGCGGAGGCGGAGCCTGCTGCGGTTGGCGGAGCCGCCGCCGTCGTCCCCCTTGGCGAGCGCAGCGGCGAGCGGGCTGCCCTGCTCGCGAAGCTCGCGGCGTCTGGCATGTTCAACCAGAGCCTGCTGTCCTCCATCGAGTCCCTCAACATCGTCGGGCTGCGCCACCTCGTGTCGCAGCTGCCGAACTGAGAGGGGCTGGCCTGCCTGGGCCCCACTGTCACCTTTTGGTTGGGCCTCTGCAAGGCATGCCCCAGGTGCGCAGTGGGTGATCCCAGGTAGGCCCTTCCCCGTCAGCTGGCACCACGTGTGAGCCTCTCACGGAAGCTCGGTTGGTGCGCAGGCTGGCGGGGCCCGTTCGCCGTCATCTTCAACGTCGGCGAGCTCATCTGCCCCGCCGTCGCGGGGGCTGGGCGGGCGCCCGAACCACGGCGCGCCGTGGCTTGCTTTCTTTCTTTCTTTCTTCCTGCTCCACCTCCTCCTCCTCCTCCTCCTCCTCCTCCTCCTCCTCCTCCTCGACCACGGGGACGACGAGGCGGCAGCAGGGCCGGCGGCGACGGCGACGGCGCCCCTCAGCCGTTTCGGCCCCGAGGGCCGAGGGGCGCCCCTCGGCGCCCAGAGCCGCCCCCCCACCCGGGCCTGGCTCGGCAGGCGGGGGGCGGGCGCCGGCCGGACCCCGGCGGGGGCGGGGGAGGTGCCCCATCAGGGGCAGCGATAAGGGGGGGACGGGATGAGGATTGTGGAGGACGATCCATGGAGAGGAAGCATGTTGCCCAATACCCTCCAGGTGTCTAAAACATGTGTCACACATGCTTTAAACATGTGAAAACCAGGCTTTTAACGTGTTCAGGACATGTGTCCGACATTGTAAACGTGTGTTTAATTCGATGGTAGCACTGTTGGGGTGTCCAGTGTCGTGGCATCCACAAGATCAGGGGGGGGATGGGCATGGTGGCGAAAACTCGAGGTTCGAGGTTTGAGGTGTTCTTGCCTTTTCGTCGGTCCTCGGCGGCTTTCCGGCCTCAGGATGTCTGCAAGCGGCTGCGCCTCGCCGAGGGCGATTGCGGGGGGGCTCGGGTCGTCTCGAACGGCCGCTCGAGGCCCCCGGGGACGGGGATAGGTATGGGGAGGATGCATCGACCCCAATCGCCCATGCATCGCCGATAGGGGCCCGACAGCCCGCCCTCGCCCAGGAACGTCGCCGTTGCGCTATCGGGGCCTATGGCCGATCCGTGGCACTCTCGGGGCCTATCGGCGAGCTCGACCGGCAGGCTCGCCGGCAGGCTCCACCTTGGAGCGTGGGGATTTGCCATCGGGGGGCGTGTCGCCCGCCTATCGGCGATGCATCGTCGATTCCAGGTCGAAGCTTCCTCCCCTTGCTCCACTCCCCCCATATCGTTGCCCTCACCTCTGAGGCGAGGGCCCCGGGAGCGGCGCGCCACGCGACGACGACGACGACGACGACGACGACTGTCGCCGCTGTGGTCGGCGTCGGCTTCGACGTCTTTGCCGCCGCGGCTCGGCCTGGCGTCGACGTCGCCGTCGGTGCCATCGGCGCCGCCATCGGCGGCGATTTTGGTAGGCGGCCACCAGGTTCCCAGTTCCAGGCCTTGTCGTGTGTTCCCAATAGTGGAAGGCGTTGGCGAAAGTGCGCCGATGACTTGGGCGGGGGCCAGGTTGCAGGGCTCCCCAGTTCCTGGTCCTTGGTTAAAGCGTCCAGCCGATTCCGGTGGGCGGCCAGGTTCCAGGGTTCCAAACGTAGAGAGTGCAGAAAATTTGGGGGCTGGGGCAAGCGGAGGGCAGGTGAGCAGAACTCGGAGCAGGAGCAGGAGTAGGAGCGAGAGCAGGAGGAGCTGGAGCACGAGCAGGACTACGCCGACGACGCCGACGCCGACGACGGCGGTGGCCGCGGCGGTGGCGGCGGCGAGCCAGCGCAGCTCGCTGAAGGCAGCGAGTGCTGCCGAAGGCCAGCACCTCTGCCTGAAAGGAGCGAGCAGGCACGTTTGCGGCCCGCCGTGGCGTGCCGCAGCCCGGGGGCCTCGACCAGCGCGCCCCCTGCCGGGGCCGATGGGGGACCTCTACAAGTCGGCGGCTCGAAGATGGGGCGCGCGGAGGGATGGGGGCCCTGAGGGATGAGGGTGGAGGGTTTCTCCGGAGAGCTTGGGCGACCCGTCCTCCTCCTCCTCCTCCTCCTCTCCTCCTCCTCCTCCTCCTCCTCCTCCTCCTCCTCCTCCTCCTCCTCCTCCTCCTCCTCCTCCTCCTCCTCCTCCTCCTCCTCCTCCTCGGCTCGCCTACATACGGCCCCGGGGGAAACCGTGCAGATGGGGGGCCTCGCGCAGAGCAGGTCCGACCTGGGATCCACTTCTATCCTTGAGGGCCCCATCCCCAGCTTTGGCATCGATCGGGCGCGTGCATGTTTTCTCGACGAGGCCAGCGCCAGACCATCGTGGACCCTCGCGGAGCCTCTCGGATCATCTCGCGACGAGAAGCGAACGCACGAAGCCGAACAACGGTGGACGAGGAAGGGACGCCCGAGCGCTTGGCAAGTGGCCCATCGTTGACCCGCCGAGCGAGATGGTGCCCCGGGCGCCGGCCCATGGCCCCGACGGCTCCCTGCCCCAGGACCACGAGGACACGCGGCGGCCGCGGCCCTCGGGGCGTAAAACGACGCGAAGATCGGGACAAAATCGGATCGGGATAACTCGAAATCTCTGAGAATCGGCGGGTTTGGAGGATGTATTGGGCGCCGCGGCCGCTCCAGAGCGTTCCGGAACGCTCTGAGAGCGCTCCGGAACGCTCTGGAGCGATTTATCCCGATCCTAGCCCTGTTTTAGGGCGCCGGGCCCTCCCGGCCGGCCCTCTCGGGCAGCCCTCTCGGAGGGGCCCTCTCGGGCGGCCGGGGAAAGTTGCGGCGCGCAGGGCGGCCGTGGCCGCTCTCCGTCGCCGCGGGCGTGGCCGTCGTCGCCGCCGCCGCCGCCGCCAGCGGCCATCGCCATGGCCGTTGCAGTCGTCGCTGCCGCGGCCGTGGTCGACGCCGTCGTTGTTGCCGCCCGTGCGGCCGTGGCCGCTCTCCGTCGCCGCGGGCGTGGCCGTCGTCGCCGCCGCCGCCGCCGCCAGCGGCCATCGCCATGGCCGTTGCAGTCGTCGCTGCCGCGGCCGTGGTCGACGCCGTCGTGGTTGCCGCCCGTGCCGTCGCCGTCGTCGTCGTCGTCGTCGTCGTCGTCGTCGTCGTCGTCGTCGACGCCGTCTTGCCGCCGTCGCCGTGGCCGTCGGTGTTGCCACGAGACGCGAGGATCAGATGAATCTGGGCATCAGGATCATCACGAACGCCTTCCAGAGCAAGATGCAGACGCTGCAGCAGGAGATACGGGGGCTGCAGGTCAGGTGCGAGGAGCAGCGGGCCAGCAACGGGTTCGTGCAGAAGAAGAACACCTCGCTCGAGGTGGAGCTCGTCGAGAGCCACCAGCGCCACCAGTCGCTCGCAGAGGAGAACAAAGAGTTGAGGAAGACGGTGGACACGCTCGACAAGCAGATCACGCGGCTGGACCACCTGAGGAAGCAGGTGCTCCAGTCCATCCAGGCCGACCACCTGGAGGCGTCGAAGCTGGGGGAGACGGGTGGCGCTCAAGACGGGGCTCGGGCGAGGGGAGCGCCCCTCAGTAGGCAGCGGGGAGGCCCCTCGGCAGGCAGAGCGGGGGCCCCCGGGAGGGCCGCACCGTGGGCAGCAGGGGTGGGAGGCCGCCCCGCCCTCGCGACCGGGAGCTGCCCTCGCCGCGGCAGGTGCCCCTGGCTGGCCCAGGGCTTGGCGTCGCTCGGACGTGTGCATTTTTCCTTCGGCGAGGACCATCGAGGAGCATCCTTGATCATTTGGAAGGGGGAAAAAAAGCAGCACGAAACCGACAAAAAAGCACAGGGAATGGACGTCCGAGCGATGGCCAGAAGGTGCCCCCGGCTCGTCGCTCCGTCTTGGAGCCCCTGGGGGCCCCTCTGGGCCTCGCGAGGGGTGCTCTCCGGAGGCCGTCCCGGCTCCTATCCTGGGGGGGAGCCCTGGGCCAGGGGCACCTTTGGGCAACACTTGAGTCGGGCGCGTCCCTCTACAAGGGGAATGCTCAAAAATAGTATTAAAACAAAGTGTGGGGACGATTTTTTGACAGTGTTTTGAATATTTGAGGGGGATTTTTGAGTATTTCTTATGTTTCGCCGAAAATCCCCCTGTAGGGGGACACGCCCGACTTAAGGCTAGAGCCGGCGTTGGCTCCTCTGGCGCAGGGGAACGCTACGTTGCAGCTTCGGGAGGAACTTTCTTGCCCTGTCAGCGGCAGCCTTTCCTCGTACTCCGACGTGGGTTCAACAAGGATTCGACACGGATTCGACACGGATTCGACAACGGTTTCGACACGGATTCGACACGCATTCGACGCGCTCGACACGGATTCGACACGGGTTCGACGTGGATCGCAGCGCGACGGGACAGACAACGTCCTCAGAAGATGCAGCTCAAGGAACAAAAAAACAAGCATGAGTGTTCGCAGGTCCGCGCGGATTTTTGGGGATCGACGCTGGACCTCCCCCCCGAGCCGGGCCCCCCAGCGCGCGGAGCGCGCCAGGGGCGGCGCTGCAGCCGCTGCCGGGGGGGTCTCAGCGCCGAGCGAAAAACTCCAAAAAGAAGGTGTATCTGAGTAGTCGAAGGCCAGACTGTCAGATTGGATTGGGCCCCAAGGGCCAATCTGGCCCGGCCAAACTGGTTGATTTGGGTGATTCGCCGGACTGGATTCGCGTTGGCTCCCTCTCCAGATTGCCCCCGTTTGCCAGATTGGGCCTGCCAGATTGGCGCCAGACTGGCTTCGACTACCCAGGCTCGTGTCTTCGTAATTCCGTCGCTTCAGTGTATGGGCCTGCGCCAGCGTCTGGTAGTCGATGGGGAAGCGGCGATGTAGCGTCGACGAGCGCCGATTTAGCCTCGATTAGCGTCGACTTAGCCTCGATCAGCGTAGGTTAGTGTCGGTTCGCAAGAGTTTAGAAGATGGTGTGGTCGTCTCCCATGCGTTGCCGCAGAACTCGTGGGAACGCGGCAGCGTCAGTGTGTATGCTTGTGCCCTTTCTTCTCCTTCGACGGCCGCGCGCGCTCAAAGCACAGTGACGTGCTTTCCCCCGCGTCTGCGACGTCTTCGGCCTGGGCCTGCGAGCTCCGGCCTCCTGCCGGGGAGAAGGGACGTCCGGCTGCTGCTGATGTTTCCATGCGTGGACCCCAGAGGACCAGGGCTCATTTCGATTCCTCCGATTCGATTCGATTCGATTTCGATTGCTTCCGATTCCGATTCGATCCGACTTGGGATTCCGATTTGGGTTCCGATTCCTTCTTGGAGGCATACTAGCCTGCCGATTTCTGCCGATTCGACTTTTCCCGACCCGGCCGCCGATTTCTGCCGATCCGATTCATTCCGATCGCCGATCCGAGTTATCGATTCGATTCTGGGCTCTCCTGGAGGACCACTTCCCCGGGGCCGGTGTTTCGCCCTTTGATCATGAGGGGAAAAAACACACAGACACAATTAATCGACGATCCCCAGGGAAATAGGGGAGAATATGGGAAGTGGGGGGGAAGACAAAAACCCAGAAAATATGGGAAAATTTGGAGCATATCTTTATTTGTGTGTATTTATTTGTGTGTCCCAGTTCCCCTTCATTTGAGTTGTTTGTTGACGCTCCCGAGGCCTTGCGAGGGCGCCGGAAGGCCGAACACGGCCCAAAGCCGCCCGCTTCATGTTTGTTGTTGAGCGGCGGATCTCTGGGTCTGTGTTTTCGCCAAGCGCCACTGCGCTCGCCAGGGCCAGCGCCCACGGCGCGCGCCAGCGCCCGCGGGCGCTGCGCGCAGACGGGACCGCTGAGGTCCGGCGCCGCGGGCACGCGTGCGACGTCGTGACGCGTCACGGCGGGCATCCCGTGTGGCCATTTCTCGTGGCCTTGCGCCTACAGCGCGCCGCCAGCGCCACGGACAACAAAACGCTTCTGCGGCGCCGCCTAAAACGCCCAGCGCGAAAGATCGGCAGTGCGTCCTGGGTGGAATGCAGAAGGGGCGGGTCTTGATCTTCGGGCCGTCTGAAAGGAATCCTAAGCCTTCTCCGGACTCAGAAGGCTGGAGGGCTTCTGAGAAGCCCCGCCGCTTTCTGAGAAGGCTGGCCCTCTCTCTCTCTCTCTCTCTCTCTCTCTCTCTCTTCGCCCCCAAGAAGCACAACGCCCAGCCCTCGACACAGAGCTCTCAGTGCGCGCCAGGTCACCGCGCTGGAGCCAGCGCTGGCGCTTCAGCGGCGCGCGCCAGCGCCACAGCGCTCGCCAGCGCCCCCGCTTGGCCAGCGCCGCGGCGCGCGCTGCCCATGGACGTTGGCGGTGCTAGAGCGCCGTAGATCAGCGGAACAGATGCCGAGAATTGCCGCTGCTCGTCCGGAAGAGCCCTCGTCGCCACGGCTGGACTCTGCCCGAAATGCTGGTCGAAGAGCACCCCCCAGAGAAGGTCCGGAGAGCAGCGGCACACACACGCATATATTTATATGCATATATATATATATATACATATGGGTGTATGTATGCATGCATGCATGCATGCATGCATGCATGTCTGTCTGTCTGTCTGTCTGCCTGTCTGTCTGTATGTATGTTTGTATGTCTGTACGTCTGTATGTCTGTCTGTCTGTCTGTCTGTCTGCCTGTCTGTCTGTCTGTCTGTGTATGTATGTATGTATGTATGTATGAATGAATGTATGTATGTATGTATATGCATGTATGTATGTATGTATGTATGTATGTGTACACGGCTTTCTATCTATAGATATATACACATATATATATATATATATATATATGTATTTGTATATGTGTATATGTATATATACATACATACATACATACATATATATATATATATATATATATGTACGTGTACATACATATATATATATATATATATATATATTATGTGTACACACAAATGTGTAACGGCATCTTTGTGCCCCCACCCGCATCGCTGGCGCCAGCGCCGCCGAAGGAGACCTCGCACCTCATGAACGACGAGTTCCTGAGGAACGCCACGCCGATCACGTCCGCGGAGTGCGGCTTCGGCGGCGCGTCTTCGACGCCCGGCCGCGGCGGCACGTCGGCCGTGGCGAGCGCCGCGGGGCCGCCCCCCCGGGCCGAGAGCGATCCGCGCGGAGGGCCGATCGGCTCGAGGGAGGATCGGGGCCCCTGGCGTTAAATATTTCTGGCAATTTTTCAATATTTGGGGACGATTGTGTGTGTGTGACTATTTCTGAGTATTTTTGTTTTGTTTGTATTTTTTTTTCGCCCAAAATCCCCCTGGAGGGGGACACGCCTGACTGAAGTGTTGCCTTGCCCCCGGGCTCTGGGGCTATGACGCATCAGGGACGCGCCCAGGACGAAGAAGCGCAAGCGTTGCTTGCTCCCCCCTTAGGGTAGCGCTTGTTACCCGGGCCCCCGCGCCTCCTTCCCCCCGAGTAGCGCTAACGATCGTTTTGGGGTGTGGCCTGCCCCCCCCCCCCCCACATGCTGTGGTGCACACAGGCGATTGATGCGCTGGTGACGCGGACGCACCCTGGCGGGTGTACATCGCGGCCGCCGTTACCATTACCCTCCCGCCTGAAGCCCTCCCCCCGCGGAACGACCGTTACCCGGGAAAGAACCCAGGACGAAGAATCGGGGAAACGTGAGACTCGAGTGCGCCAGGACTCGGGTTTGCCGACGCTTCTTGACGGGCGCGTCCTGGAGCTTGGCGGTCCAGCCTTCGTGGGGCGTCTGCAGCGGGAGCTGGGTCTCGTCCTTTTCCCGACAGCCCCGTCATCACCACCCACCAAACCACCCCAACCCAACCCGAAGGCTCACATTTACCCTCGATTTCCAGTGGGGGGGGGGTCGGGAAACATCGAAAAAACACATGTGGAACCCTTACCCCCCCCCAACCCGAAATTCGGGTCTTCGGGTTGGGTTGGGGTGGTCTGGTAGGTAGTCACGTCAGGCCAACCCGAGTCCCCCGCACCCGAGCCTTGCGCCTCCCTGCAGGCAGTGCCTCTGCGGAGAGGGGGTCGGGGCCTCGCGGGCCGCGCACGGCATGCCTGGGGCTCGGCGTGCTTCCTCCTCGGCCCGCCGGCCTCCGGGGCCCCTTTGTCGGGCCTCGTGGGACCCAGAGGCCCGGCCACAGGCCACGGGCTCCAGAGGACGGAGCATCAAGGAGGGATCTGGGACGGAGAGGGTCAGAGGAGGAAGAGGTGCCCATACCGCCACCCGCTACCCTCCCCTCGCTCCCCTCGTGTTCCCCTTCGTGGGCCTCCTGGGCGGCCCTCGTCGCCACCGCTGGATTCGCCATGAAGTCCCGGTCAGAAGGCACCCCGAGAGAGGTCTAGGGAGTGGCGGTATCCGTATTTTTGAGTTTCCCCAGAACCTCGGGCCGAACTTTGGCCATTGGTTTTTCGCTAGGGCTTGGTTCTTCTCCGAAGCGGCCGAGCCCTCCCCAAATTCGGCCACGCGCAGAGGGGGGCGGGGAGGGGGGAAGGCTTCTTAGAAGCACCCCTGCTTCTTAGGAGGCGTGGGCCTTGTCTGTAGATGTAAGGCCCGCGCCTTCTAAGCAGCAGCCTCCTTCTAAGAAGCCTTCCCCCCTCCCCCATACCCTCCTCTGCGTGCCGGCAACAAATCCTCTGAGCACCCTCCCAGAAGGGTCTTGGAAGGATCCTGGAAGGCTTTCCTGATCGTCTTGGGGGGGGGTCGGGAGGGTGTCGTTCGTTTAGGGGGAGCCAGTCCCGAGCGAACCCTGGACTTTCCAGGGCGAGGCCCAAGTTCTCTGGCGATTATGAGTTGTTTGATCCCGGCGTGTGTCTTCGAGTTCGGCCTCTGGGCCCCGTTAGTTGTCGGGCTTTTGGACCATCATCCCAGACATGCTCGCGTCGTAAAAACTTCAAGACGGAGGTTTTTCGCCGTTTTCGGCATCTGGGGGCCCTCGCCAGCGCCCGGGCCCGTCAAAAAACGACGCAGGGTTACAAACCGGTCCTCGGGAAAGGGTCGGGTTTTCCTGGGACGCCGTATTGAAAAAATCAGGACGTCGCATGTCTGGGACCGTTGCGTGATGCCTCGCCCCGAACCAAGCCTCCAGGTCGGTTTTGTAGGTCGCGGCGGCGATCGCGGCGGCCGCATATCGCAGCAGGCTCGTTGTCAAGGAGTGGCATGTCCCTTCCCAGCCTCCCCCCCCGCTCTGCGACGTAGGCGTGGCTCTCGCTTACCAAACTAGCGGTAGAGAGATGCCAATGTATGTCCAACACGGGCAGTCATGTTTGTTTGGTTAGCGGTCGATGCTCGCGCGACCACGCCAAGAATGAATCCGGGACGAGGAATCACTTTCGGGGAAGGGCTTGGGGCCTCGTGGGCCGCGCATCGAAAGCAACGCATCGTTGGATGTTCGGGGTTCGAGGTGCTGGGGTGTTGCTCCCCCTTCGGCGCGTGCGGTCACAGCTAGATCCGCCAGTTCGAAATCCAGGTCAGACCGTATCCCATGCGAGGTCCAGGGGCCAACACACATCCGCCCAGAACAGGTCTCAGAAGATGGTGGATCGAGGTTGTTGTGCCATGTTTGTTTTGTTTCTGCCATTGTTTCTTCCTTCTCCTGGCCTCCTCGACGCCACGACCGAAACCGGCCGCCTCGAGATTTCAGGTAGGCGCAGGGTGAGAACGAATCAGTCGAAAGCGTCGTCGAAGACAGAGGGAAGACAGAGGGTTCGGGAATGTTCTGGCACGGCCGTGGCGCCCGATACGTCTTCCAAGCCCGCTGGGTCATATTCGGGGGCGGACAGAACCCCCACCCTGACACGTCGATTCGTGAATTGCCCGTTTTCGGTTCTCGAGAGTGTGCCGCGGCCGTAATTTCCCAGGCTTGCGCCCGCCAGGTTTGGGCCCGAGGCCGTTTTCACTACACTACGTTTCATTAGAGGGGTTTCTGTGCATCCCCGGGAGATCCCCGAAGCATTCGCATTTGGATTTATCCACATCTCGCCTTAGCCTTCGGGGCCTGGTCGGAAGGCAACCCGGGGCATCTCTAGGCGGCAGATGTAGTGATGGGCGGAGGTCCCGGACGTTTCCGCAAGAATCAAGGTCTGGGCGTGAATTCATGGAGGCGATGAGTGGTGGGGGGGGGAGAAACGTGTATTTGTCGTGCCCCTTCCGGGTCTCAGGGGGCCCGTGCAGGGCACACAAGGTGCCCCCCGCTGATCGCCCCACCACTGCTCGACGCCCGAAAGGCGGGCGCTCTTTCACCACTTTCGACGTCCAGCGGGGGGGCGTTTGCGCGCTCCCAGGCCATTCACACAGACGCTGCGGGTCGAGAAGACTAGGCCCCAGGGACGGAGGAGGAGGGACGAGGAGGGAGGAAGACGAGGAGGGTGGTGAGGCGAGATGAGGAGGCTGATAATGGAGGAAGGATAATGGAGGAGGGAGAATGGAGGAGGGAAGACGACGACGCACCCCTCTGGAGCTGATGCTAATGCCAAGGCATCGCCACACGGGAAGGATCGATGAGAAGTCATCGAGGACCTTGAGACTAAGATCGACCCAGCCTTAGGATCTGTCTCTGAGCGCGGTCAGGTACAATTTCGGGGAAAGTGGGACCCCTTGGTGCGCCCCAAAGGCCGTGGCCGAAACAGAGCACAAAGCAAAGGCAAAGGTACTGGCACATCGAATGGCAAGTAGTTCTTCAGCTGCGATATTTTGTATCGCGAGGGTTTTGAACGAGGCCTCTCGCCTCGTCTACTGTCATGGGGGCATGCTGTACCCCCCTTTGAATCTTTCTCGGCCTGGCTGGCTGACCTCCCCCCCGTCTCCCCTTGCTGCCGCCGCCCCCCCGCTGCCGCCTCTGCGCCTCCGAGATTGTGTCTGCACGTGCAGGCATCTCGACCCTGTGCTGCAATCAGGGAGTCCCCATGCGAATTACTGCAGGAGGGGCTCCCATAGAGTTTTGACGTCGGCGGGGTCACAGTGCCTCCCGAACGCCCTGCGGCCACAGACCCCATCGAGCCGCTCGAGACGCGGCCATGCGCACTTAGCGAGCGAGCGAGCCTCCTCCCTCTTCTCCTCCTGCTCCTCCTCAGCCTCCTCCTCCTCCTCCTCCTCCTGCTCCTGCTCCTCCTCCTCTTCCTCCTCCCCCTCTTCCTCCTCTTACCTCTTACCTACATTGACGGCCAGTTCCTCTGACAGGGGCCGCTGTGACTCCTTGGCCACTAAACAAAACCCATGGGCCTCGGGGGTCTCAAATCGTTTGGCTGAGCCAATTCTTCACGCCCACTGGCGATTTCTCTTGTTCCAGGGGAACAACGAGACGTCTGGCACCTTTGGTGAAAGTCTTTGGCTTGCACTGCACTCCGAGCTTCTGAAAGGAGGTGGCGCCGTACCCCCCACAGGCCCGACACCCGAAGACTCCCTTGAACGTCCAGACAACGTGGCTTCGGTGCAAGCTGACTGGGTACCCGATACACGGACTAGCTAACCAGGATCATCTCTCCCTTGGTGCCGGCTTTGTGAACCAAGCAAGACACTGCAAATGGCTTCGGGCGTCTCTCTTGACCAGGTGCAGCGAGTCCTCGATCCTCTGCCGAGCCGCCTCCCGCCTCTCCACCGCCCGAGCTTTGGCCCCCTGGGCGCGGTCTTGGCGGGAAGACGCCCCGTAGAGAGGCGGGGCCTCCCTGGCGACCGCGCGGGCCACCGCCAGGAGGTGCTCGTGCACCCTGATCGCTTCGAGGTCGATGGCCGCGATCGCGGCGATATCCTGGGGCGGAAGCTGGGCCTGACGGGCGCCCTCCTCCGCTGCTTGATCTCCTAGACGGGTGGTGAACCAATGCCGTGGGTCCACCAGGTTCGCCTGAGCCTCTTCCGACGAGAGGTGGCTCTTGATGTTGTGGGCCTCAACGGGCCTACACCACCAAGAGCACACCACCAACTCCTCCACAACAGCCGGTGGGTGCCGTGCCGTCCGTGCGGGCCAGCTCGAATGCCATGTAACCACAGACTGTGCATCTACGACCATCACTCAACAAGGGCTCCCTCGAGGGCGCGAAGTTATTCGCGCTTCGCGGTCCTCGTTCCTTCTCCCCCTCCTCCTCGTCCTCCTATTCTCCCTTTGGGAGGGCGGCGCGAGAGCGCGAAGTTATTCGCGCTTCGCGCTTCGCGCAGCGCGAAGCGCGAAGTTGGGAGCCCTAGATGTAACCACAGACTGTGCATCTACGACCATCACTCAATCTCCTGCGGTTGCTTTAGCCGCCTCGATGACTGCCGTCCGCTGTGCTATCGAGACTGACTGCTTCCAGTACTCCAAGGGCCCTTGCCCCCCACCCAAGCACGTCCCACCCGTCCACCACCACGAATCCCCACCCACATCTGCGGAGTCTGGACTCTTCGTGATACTTGCCTCCTGATCCATCAGTGGCTACAATCATTGAACTGGTGAGACGAATTTTGTCGGCATGGGCCAGGGCTCCTTCTGTGACCTTTGAGCCCTGGATTGGTCTGGTGGCGTGAGGCAGCACCCAAAGCACTGGCACTATGCCTCTAAGCCAAAAGCAGGCCCACTCCTCCTGGCCCTCGCGGGCCTCCTCCAAGAGCTCCAGATTGAGGCCCTCCAGGCCTTGCTTCCAAGGGCATTCCCACAGCTGGTGGAAAAGGGTCTATTGGGGGGGCTCCACAGCGAGGGCATTCTGGAGTGATCCAGTGTGGCCTACACGGCCGTCCTACCTCCACATTATACTGAGGTTCTTCTAGAGAGTTGCCAGGGGGAGCTCCCAAGGACCTTGATCGTCCTCATGGGCTTGCCGGACCAGTTCCATACAATCAAAATCCTCCTCATCCTCATCCAGACCGCCGACTCTACTTTGCGCCTGGAGCTCCTCAGGGGCCTGCACTGACGCCTGTGCAGCGGCGGCGGCCGTTGCTGGAGGGACTGGAGGGGGCCTGGTAGCTTCTTCTCCAAGGCGCCGACTCGCAGGCCAAAGAGCGCCTGCCACGATCATCGTGAAAAGACCAGCTCTATCATACTGCGCTTCTTTCTTCAGGGCGGCCACGCGTTGCCTGTTGACTGTAAGATCGGGGCCATGCGCTAGCCCCCTGCCTTTGAAATGTGATGCTGCGAGCTCCCAGGCCTGCTGGTCGAGGGCTCCGTACAGCACATATTCAGACATATTCAGACATCATTTGCGGGTCAGACTCTTCAAGATCAAATTGTATTCCGTCTGGGTCCTGCCACAGTGTCGGTGAAAGAGGTTTCCAACCGAGGTCAAGGAGCGCGGCCACCGTGGCCGACAGGGTCTCCTTGATTTTCCCCCATCGGCTTTTGGCCCCATCGAGAAGAGGAACAGCTTTTCCCCAGGCCAGAAAAAGGGGCTGGCGGTGCGCTGGGAGAAGCATTGGCAGGAGTCCTATCCACTCGTTAAAAAGACGGAGCCTGCCGAAAACCATCGGGTCCTGGTGTGCCGTGGGGAAGGCCATCCGAACCGTCGCAGCCTCCTTCCCTACGGCCAACCATGCCCGAGATTTGCGCACGAATTCGCAGCAACGTTGAGGGGGGCACTCCCTGTGCCTCTAACCCCCATGCGCACTGCGGGATAAATTCTGTTTTGATTAACGCTTTGGCAGCACGGGAGGTCTTGACTACTCTACGAATTAAGTTACCTCGAATGTGCTGTCTGTCAGTCTCTTTTTAGCTGTCGCGACCGACCGCCTGTGGGATGTGCCGTCGATCTCCTAGGTCCTTGACAAACTGAGATTGCTTCAGCTGAATGCTAGGGCCTAATCTGCGCTGAAGAAGATGAAGAGGAGTAGGAGGAGGGATGGTGATGATGATGGTGATGATGAGGATGATGCTGATGCTGATGCTGATGCTGATGCTGATGCTGATGCTGATGATGATGATGATGATGATGATGATGATGATGATGAGGAGGAGGAGGAGGAGGAGGAGGAGGAGGAGGAGGAGGAGAAAAGGAGGGATGAGGAGGAGAGAGGACGATGACGAGGAGGAGGAGGGAGAGGAGGAGGAGGAGGAGGAGGAGGAGGAGGAGGAGAGGCCTCCCCTCCTCCATCCCCGATCCTTGTGGCGCGCGCCGGCTAGGTTGGCGCACGACGCGGCCGCCTCGGGCGCCGGGCTGCGGCCGTCGGCGGGCGCCGCGGAGCCCGCCGCGGGCGCGCCGGACGGGAAGGTTCTTCCGGCAGGCCTCGGCCGCGCGGGGGGGGAGGAGGAGGAGGAGGGAGGAGGAGGAGGAGGAGAGGAGGAGGAGGAGGAGGAGAGGAGGAGGAGGAGGAGGAGGAGGAGGAGGAGGAGGAGGAGGAGGAGGAGGAGGAGGGGGGGAGGTCCGTGGCTATCTTGGCTCAACGAGGCCGTGTGCCTCCGTCGCGGCGCCCAGCGAGCGGTGAGACAGTGCGCCGCTCCCTGGGAAGCAGTTCTTCCGGGGGGACGCAGTTCTTCCGGCAGGCGTCGGCCGCGCGCAGGGTCTCGAGGATCGATCCCTTTGGGAGGGCGCGGGTCTTCACAGAATCCCAGACATCGGGCGTCTCGAAAAAATCGAGACAAAGGTTTTTCATCGTTTTCGGCCTCTGGAGGCCTTCGCCGGGCCTCGGGACCGTCAAAAAACGACTCGGGATGAAAAACCGGTCCCGGGGAAGTGGTCGGGAGGTTGGGGGCCCGTGTCTCGAAAAAATCGGGACGTCGGATGTCTGGGATCGGGTCCTGCGGTTTTTCACCGTCTTTGGGCTTCTGGGGTCCTCCGCGGGCCCCGGAACCGTCAGAGAGCGAATCGGGATGAAGATCTCGTCTTTTCTTCGGAGGAGGGCCCCAGGGTCCAGGACCAGGTTCCCTCAGGACCGATTTCCAGTTCCCCGTGCTCAATCGAAGTTCCTTCAGATCCGGGCGCTGCAATGTCTTCACAGCGGGCGTCTTCGCACAGTTTCGGGCCTCGGGACGCCCTGACAGAGCAGTGCGGCTCGAAGAGTGGCGCAGGAGAACGGAGTCCAGGATGCCGGTCGTGATCTTTGGCGGTGTTGCAGTGTGTTTGCACTGTCGGATCTCCGGGTTTGGTAAGGATCGGGGTTCGGGTCTCTGCAGCGCCTCGCCCGAAGAGGAAGATTCTGCATAAGCATCAACCTTCGGAGGTCCGCGCGGGGTTCCTAGGGTCCGAGTTGGGCCCCCGCGTGCCAGGGAGGAGGCGCCTCGGCGCTTCGCAGAGCTTCGAGGATCGAGGCCTGGCACCCAGACGTGCCACGTCCTTCAAGAGTGAGGACGGGGCCGTTTTCGGCTTCTCTCGGGGGCCTTCACCAGGCTCCCCTTTGGACCGTGCATCACCGACTCAGGGCGAAAATCCGATCCCCGGGACAGGGTCTCAGAGCCCCGAATCATCAGGGGTAACTCGGGTCAGGGATAACTCGGGTTCGTTTTTTCGGGAATCCGAACCCGAGTTACCCCGGACCCGAGTTACCCCGGATAACTCGGGCGTCCAGAGCCCCGAATCATCAGGGGTAACTCGGGTCAGGGATAACTCGGGTTGTTTTTTTCGGGAACCCAAACCCGAGTTACCCCGGACCCGAGTTACCCCGGATAACTCGGGCGCCCAAGCTTCGAGGATCGAGGCCTGGCACCCAGACGTGCCACGTCCTTCAAGAGTGAGGGCGGGGCTGTTCTCGGCTTCTCGGGGGCCTTCACCAGGCTCCCCTTTGGACCGTGCAGCAACGACTCGGGGCGGAAATCCGATCCCCGGGACAGGGTCGGGATTTCTGGGGACCGCGCATTCACAAAGTCGCATGTCTGGGTCGGGATTTCTGGGGATTTCTGGGGATTTCTGGGTCGCATTCACAAAGGACAGGGTCGGGATTTCTGGGGACCGCGCATTTCTGGGGACATCGCATGTCTGGGGAGGGCTTCGGGTTGCGCACGCAGACAGCCCCCCCCCCCCCAGGTATAGTCCCAGCTGGCCTCAGCAGGCTGGCCCCCCGAGAAGGCCCAGCTGGCCTGTGGGGGGACTGTCTGTGCGCAACAACCCGAACCCTCACCAGCAAGGTTTGGGCTTCTGCGACGTCTTGCCGAATAATAATAATACTAATAATAATAATAATAATAATAATAATAGTAAGAATAAGAATCATAATAAGAATAAGAATAATGATAAGAATAAGAATAATAAGGATAATAAGAATAATAATAATAATAACAATAATAACAATAACAATACTAACAATAATAATAATAATACACTGCATAAGCGTAAACCTTCGGAGGTCCGCGCGGTTTCTTGGGTCGGAGCTGGGCTCCCGCGTGCCAGGGAGGGAGGTCCAGCGCCGATCCAAGGAATTCGCGCGGAGCTCGAAAGTTCACGTCCTCTGTGCCGTTCATTTGTCCTCCAAGGTTTGAAGTTCAAGGTTCGATCGCAATTCTCGCGATTTTGACCATTTCTAAACCTCTTCGTCGTCACGGCTGGTTTCATGTCGAAGTTCTGGCCCAAACGCACCCAGGGACAGCGCGCCCCATCAGAACGCTGTCCAGGGGAACCTCTCGTCGAGGTTTACAGGCGTTCGGTGTTCCAGGTTTCCGGACCTTCTCGTCGGTTCCTGAGTTGTCTCGCCTCGAGGTGCTCTCCAGCAGCTGCGCCTCGCCGACAACATTGCATTGGTGCTTGGATCGTGCCGATCGGCAGCTGGAGGCCCGATTACGGCCTGAAGGCCAGACCTCCTGTGGCCGCGAAGAAATCGCGACGTGCGGCTTTGGCAAGCTTTCTGCCTCCAGAGGCCTTCGCCAGGCAAGGCGGCCGTCAAAACCGACCTGGGTTGAGAGTCCTAAGGACCGTGCAGACGAGATCACACCTCAGATGCCTGGGAAGCCAGCAGCCCTCGGCGGTTCGCAGAAGTCGGCATGGAGGGAATTGCAGATGATCCTCGGGAAGTGTGCTGTCTCGATGTGTTTAATGTAGGGTCCGGAATTATAAAGCGGGGCCTCCCCCCCCCCCCCTTGACCTCTCCCGGGGGGGGGATAGCGCCCCCAGCAGGGAGTATTTTATTATTCTTCGCCCAAAGGATTTCGTCGTCGCCAACGACGACGACGACGACGACGACGACGACGACGACGACGACGACGACGACGACGACGACGAGCCGAGAATCATGAGGGCTGGGGGTGGTCGGGGGTAGCTCCTGGCTCGAGCCTCGGGGGCCCGAATCGGAGTATAACCCCAGACCGGAGTCATCCTGGATCACTCGGGGCTGGAGGTGGTCAGGGGTAGCTCCTGGCTCGTGCGTCAGATGCCCAAACGGGAGTCGGGGGTGGACAGAACCCCCAACAGTGACACGTCGATTAGTGAATTGTCCGTTTTCGGTTCTCGAGAGGGCGCCGTGGCCGTTATTTTCGAGGCTTGCGCCCACCAGGTTTGGGCCTCAGGTCGTTTTCACTAAACCACGTTTTACTAAAGGGGGGTCTGTCCATCCCCGAGTAGCTCCTGGTTCGTGCGTCAGATGCCCAAACGGGAGTTACCCCAGACCAAAATTATCTGGGATTATTCGAGCATCACATGTTTCCCGTTCAGCCCCGCCACTGACGCGCGGCTTGTCTCACCGTCTGCGTCGCCCTGAAGGCTTCGGTGGATCAGGACACGCTGGCGCTAACACGTCCGGAGGGTCACCGACAGGGGTCCTGAGGGAGACGGGTCCTTAGGCTTT